TGGGGCAATTAGTGTCCATTCAAAAACAGTTGTTGGACAGTAACAAGAAGTGTGACTATTTCTCTTTACTCTGTTAATGGTTTCCTTGACAAACCTGAGGGGTACAGACTTTGATACTATCCCTCAACTCTTCTTTGAAGTTATACGGCCTCACTTTTATTAAAATTACTCTTGGTTTATGCGCTGTCTTGGGGAGTGGAGAGCAAGCAAGCAGCTTTGCCAGATTGACTTGAGTTGGTCTTCTATCCACCCACTGTACTGTGTGTGTGTGTGTGTGTGTGTGTGTGTGACAGAGACGGGGGTGAGAGAGAGAAGAAGAAGCAAGTAAGTCTGGTTTTCAAGTTTCTTTTTTAAATTTGTTTCTTTAGTATTAGTGCTAGGATTTTAGCTATGGTGAGTTTTAGACTTAGAGTAAACTTAGAGCTGGTGTTAGAAAGAGGGTTAGATACAAACTTAAAAATGGAGCCATGTGAACATTAAATTTAAAGTTCCTATGGTTAGGGTTAGGGACAGATATTGGTGTAACACTGGGATGGGGGTATAATTACTGTTGAAAATGATTTACAGTTAGTTTTAGTCCTAGTTTTACTACTTGGGTTATATGTTCAGTTAGGCTAGTTTAATTCTTATTGGGAGGCAATTCCCAGGACAATGTTACCTGGGTTCTATCAGCTTTTATTCTAGAGTATTTTTTCAGGGATGTTTGTAGACAGCCTCAGGCAGGGAGCACAGATTTTCCTAACGTGTAAGAGAAGACAATGTCTCCCTCCAGGACATGGTTGGTCAGGTTAGCTCGTGGTTCACCAGAGAAGACTGGAAGTTCTAAGCTTGGAGTTTCTCAGCTATGCCCACTGTACCTGAAGCATACAAGTGGCCTCTTCACATGGCCTTTGGGACTTGAAAGACAAGGGGCGCTAATGCAAGCCCGCTCCTGTTCATTCTGACTGCTGTCTTATGAGTAAACTTGGCCTGTGTTTTATGTCTTCTGCTAACACCTATGGATTGTAGGAGGCTAAACTGCTAGGTTAAGTGTCGGTCAGTCTCCTGTCACTATAACAAATCCCCAGATAACTAACTAATAAGAAGAAAGAGCATATCTTAGCTCACAAATGACAAGGCTGATGGAGTGGACCTGTAGATTTTGAGGCCTCTGGCATTGCTGTTAAAACAACCACAGCAGGATGCACAGGGCTCAGAAAACAGCTGATTCCATGGCCAAGGAGCAAACGATAACAGGAAGGGGCCCATTTGAGAGCAGGCGCCCCGGGTCCTCAGGACCTACCACCACCACCCGGTAGCACCATCCTAGAGACCAAGCCTTTCAACATAGGGGCCTTTGGGAGACATTCATCACTCAAACTACAGCAGCTTGCACA